GGGTAAATAAACTGGATCCTTTTAAGGGATCGTAGAGGAGGTCATTTACAATTATTTTCACCTCACATTATGTATTTGAAAGTGAGCCATTTTTGTGATAAATTGCATTTATTTTTATTATACTTTTGTTGACAGTTTTGAAGAGATAACATTTCATTTCGTTATAAATAATAATAAAACCCAAATAATCTCGGCCCAAAAAATAGTATTTTGTTATTATAAATTTGCAAAGAGAAGTGCGTTTAAAAAAACTTTCGGATATACAATGTGGGGTGAAAATAATTATAAATGACCTCCCCTACGGCCCCTTAAAAGGATCCAGTCTAATTACCCATAACCCTGTATACTGACAATATTTTATCTTAGACTACGATACTGAGCGACACGGTCATGTTTGCGAAGGCCAAATATGAACCTAATACAGATTTTTTTAATTGTTTATTTAGCTGGTCCTCCCAGTCGATCCCAGATTTTTTATAGTTACACTAAGTGGTTTATCGATTCCTTCGAAGCCGACCTTAGGAAGTGTATTCCAGTCAATTCTAGTTAATATTCTAGAACTACCCACTATCATAACCTGTGTTTTTAGGGGATTAACCTTCAGTCCAGTGATGCTGAACAAATGAAGTTTAGTTGATGACACGTTACTAGACGATTACTACTATATTTAAATATGATTATATTTCTATGATTACGTATGGCTACAGAATATCGTTTAGATAAACCTAAATTCGAATTAGTAAATTTATAATATAGGAAAAATAAATTCATATAAATTCCATAAAAGTTCTAATAAGAAATATGAATGTGAATTTAGTGTATTTTTTAAAAATAAGATTGTATTTTCAAGAAGTTAGTGGAACTCATTAAACTGAAGGTTTACTATTATGCGTTTGTATTAATTCAATTTTCTAATTCAATCCTAGGTTAACAAATTTTAATTTTAGCACCCTACGTATGCAGGATAATTGTAAAGGAAATACTGTAATTTTAGGAAACGGGCAAAACAAATTCGAAGATAAGAAACTCACTATAACGATTGACAAAAAAACATTCACCATTTAAAAACTACATAAAACTAACCTTTTCCACACGTGGGCGTTTTGAGATACCGTTTTAATTCTGTGTAATATATTTTCCGAATACAATAAAAGCCAGGTAAAGGGATTAAAAAAAGGACTGCAGGCCAATGAACAAACAATAGGATATACAAACAACAATAGTTTGTTTTCCGAATGGTATTATATGACACTGGTATGGGTAACCTTCCAACCTTTTGGGATCTAATCAGTAGCAACCTGAAGCTCGTAGTGAACAGACCTCTAGTATCGTTGAGTGAAATAATACGTTTTGTAGAGAATCCAGCTCTGTGTTCACTGGTAAGTTAATTTCATTGCTTTTTAAGACCGTCATGGGCGATATTATGTATATCATTAATGTTTTTTATGATTTTTCATTACTTGATTTTTAATTTTTATATTATGTATGCTATCTACATTTTACCCCAATTATATTCTAAAACTGTTTAATCAGTTATTATTGAAACAATCAATAAATTCTTCAAATATGTTATTATAATTTAATAGCAATAAATAATATAATAGCAAAATAATATTTTTAATATTGTAAGATTAAATTCAGTTTTACGAATGTTTAAATCATTGGATAAAGATGAATTTTATTGTACCTAATTATTATATTTGACAATTTTTCATTCCCAGTGCTATACTGAAAGACAATTCTTAATGAAAAATGATTAAAAAATCCACTTTGTGTCTGGCGCTCTGAGATAGGATGGTGCTCTGATTAATATAATCAATTAAAATAATGTTAATTTGGTCCATATTTTCACAACAAACACTAACTAAATATTTATAATTTTATTAAGTTAAATGTGTTCACTTTTAAACTATCGCGCTGCATTATTAAATAGATGCTTTAGAAATTAAATAGCCGAAAAAGTTTAAGTTTCGGCCGAAACGTCAGCGCAGGTCCGTGTAAAATCTCGTCTAATACCCGGTATTATAAGTATTGAATTTAAATATAATTCTAATAACTTCCCTCTATTATTATTAACGCCGATAGACGTGCACTTAACTCTTCTACAATTGCCGTAGACGCCGATCGGCCTCATGTCACGTGGGTAGATATTTTGAAATTCACAACGCGAATTAAACTCCCTAGATTAAAGCAACTATCGAATTAAAAAAATTATAATGACTTACTTAAATATAATAATGCTTTTAAATACAACAGAAATTTCTGTTGCCAACTAAAGGGTAGCACTGGATACTTTGATAATGCATTATTACATTGTTATTGTACTACTTTGCTGTTTGGAACTGGGTTTAGATAAAATTAGAATCATAAATAGACAGTTACTCTTGTATTGAGGGGTAGTGCGCTCTTCTTCGCCAACCTAGCCGGCACGGCGCGGTAGCTATTCTAATTTCAGTTATAAAATCAGCCTCGACCTCGACGTCGAGCAGAATAAATTAAATAGCCTTCAAAAGGCAATAACGATTTTGTTTAATTAAATGTAAAAAGCGATTTTGATATTCTATAATACTTTTTGTAAAGTATTTTATAAAGCTGATCAATAGGTATCAGAATTTTACCCCCCTAAAAATCAAGACCGTGACCAAGGTCACGTGATTTGCAAAGAATATAACGTGTGATACACACTTTAAACATTGAATTATACTTGCTAATGTTTTATACAGCAGAAAATAAAAACTTTTTGTTTATGAGATAATATACAGACCTTTTCCCAAAAGCTCTATTGTTTCGGTACAGTAACACAATTACAAAAGCTCGTGATCAACAATACAATTGTGGGTTATTTTTGTTCTACAATTGTTTACTCACATTAATTCCACATGGTATTTTCATTATTTTGTTGCTATTTTTACAGTAATAGTAATCGCAAAAAAAATTAACAACTGAATTAAATCAAAACATCAAGTGAAAGCTAATAGTTTATTAATTGTTTTCATTTGAAGTCCATAATTAATATTAATCATAAAAATACATTACTAAATTACGACACTTACAAGTAATTGAATGCTTTATAGTTTCTCATTTAATTTTATTATGAGTTTACCGTTAGTTTAGTTTAATTATATAATGAGTTTAAAGTTACATATTATCATTAAACTTGGGAATGCAAGACTATAATTACCTACCTGGTTAATACAGTCACCCCACATTTATAATTGGACAGGTCAATAATTTACAATAATACTAGTATTATTGTATATGGTCAGTATCTTCACTAGACAACTTGCATTATTGTCTATTAATATATTTACCCATAAATATATTTTGAATTCAATAATATTTACAAATCACTGACAACTAAGCTGAAACCGTATACTGGTCAAAAATGTATTTATTGAGGAATTCTTTGATATAACAAAAGCATTCGAGTTTGTAAATCATCAAATCCTACACAATAAATACGACCAGACCGATATAGGATATGATAAACACAGCAATAATTAGATAGTTATTTATATAATTAGACACCGCGTGTTGAGATTGCATGGATTATCAATTAAAGAAATCTTACATTGAATATCTTAGGAAAAGCGTGGAACAGGTGTGCCGCAAGGCAGTGCATTGGGTGCCATTTTAATTGGTCTATACTATCGGCATCTTGATATTCGCTTTGATATTTGTGATTTTAAGAGCCCAAATGCAGAATTATAAATAATATTAATAATAGACTTCTGAGGTTTAATTTATTTATAGTTTGTTTTCATAATATATATTTCATAATATTCCATTAAAGTTGTAATTGTTTTCTATTTGAATGCCATAGCAAAAGGTCATTTCTATTAGATAATTGAAATATTTTTTATATCCACAGAACTAAAGGTTAAAAATATTGAATTAGGTAATAATAAATAATAATTTATAAAATACATTTAAGCAATCCATTTTGGCAGATTATAGTTGTGAGTAATTATATCAAATAAAATATGCTTAAGTATTAAAAATATGAATAGAAGTTGTATAAAGTGAAAATGAAGATCTGCATTAAAATAATAGTTTCATTATTCCAATTATAGGTTATAAAATAATATTGAGATCTAATTCATAAGTTGTTGATTAGTGTCTTAAGATTCACTAGGTTATGACACCATTTTATCATTGTGTAATTGAGGCATTCAATATACTTTTATTAGTAAATAATTTTAATATTTTTTTATGATATATTTATTCGAAAAATTATTTTCTATTTATTTATAATATATACTGCGTAACAAGCACCGTGGTGTTAGAGCTGGTTATAAGATAGGTGACCAAAAATTTATTATCTTGAGCTTCTCCGTGTTTTGGAAGACCAGTTAAGCCAACCAACGCCCGGGACCAACGCCCGGCTGCATCTCCAGTCGTTAATATCCTCCAATCCGCACTGAGCACGCATAATGGGTCTTGGCCCATTCTCCCAATTGGATTTGATTTGATTGAATCTATTGGGAAGGCCTTAACCCCAGCAGCGGGGACATTAATGTGATAGAAATGTATAAACAGAAATTAATTTTACTAGACGATCATTAAATAGTTTTAGTTTCAGACCCAGAAGAAAAAGTCCAAGAGCACTGACCAAAATGTGGGCCACGTTAAAATCTTCCCGCTCAAATGCCCGCCCCACCGGCAAACAGAACGGCCACCAGAATATACACAACCTCAAGACACTAGGCGCATCCCCCACTACCACAGGTAAGACAAAGAAAAGAAACTCCATCAATGTATTCGTCTTTTCAAATCAATATTGGATATATCTTGCACTTCATCGTGTCCTGTTCTTACTATAAGACATTATAAAACACAAATTAGATGACGAAACAGTTCACGATGTCTGCAACATAATATAAATTTTTTTACTATTAAAATATCTTATCCTGACCATATTGTGTCATCATTCTGCTCTCTTCAGGTCCGACAACATTGATCAACATTGAGGGGACGAAGAAACACTTCGTTCCGTACGAACCAACAAACAAAGAAAAGTCTGACAAAACGCTGGGCATGACCTCCGCTATCTCTTTGGCAGGTTAGTAAATATCATTATTACAAAACAGCAATCAGTTATTCCAACTAGTATACGTGCTGAACTTAATTATGTACTGCCCATGAGTTAAATATTATACACTTGATTTTAAGAATCACTAATCAATATTCATACTAATATCATGCCTCAAACATTTAAATAATTTGAAACTCAGAGAGCGATGATACTTTTTTGGTAAAATCTATACTAATAATAAAGTAGAAGAGTTTATGTGTTTGACTGAACTCAAAATCTCAGGAACTACTGGAACGAACTGAATTATATCTTATTTTTTTTTATGAATAGTCCATTTATCGAGGAAGGCTATGCTGCTGTAAAACATCACGCTATGGCTTATAGAAGTGGAGCAGCAATGAAAAATGTGACAAAAAAGGGAGAACATTTAACTTTTTAAAGCTTTCTATTCCTGCGCTGCGTAAACGGCGAAAGTTGGGCAAAAATCATGTATTACGAAATTGATCCTATTTAAAAGTTATAAAAAAAGTCTGCGGCAGCATATGTCTCTCTTATATCTTATCCCGAAAAAAAACATATGAAGGGATGAAAACGTTAGCGGAAGTTCATGTAGGGTCTTAAATCGTTACTATAATAACCATTGTTGACAATTCAATTAGTCATTTTAATTATATTCCAAATTATCCTTCTCCAAATCCATTATTCAATGACTTGAGCTGTTTACGCAGGATTAAATAATATTTTGAATAATTTTGCTCGGCACAATCTTTGTCGTTAATATTAAATGCATATGTTATAGTTTTATCGGGTAAGTACACGAAAATGTTACATTTAGCTGCGTCTACTGAGCACTAGATGACGCTACTGTACTTTTAAACAGGATTTTGCGTTTTGCTATGTTTGTAGTCTTTAATTTTTTTCCTATTTTTATTAAACAAAGTAGTTTGCACCTTTAATTTTGCGGTATTTCCCGTAATTGTTAAGTAATTGTTAATCTGGCAAAAAATAAAACTCTACAATTATCCGTCTTCGCTAGATAACGCAGTTGTGTTTTTAAAACTGATGTGTTTGTTTGACTTAGAACTGTATGTAACGAAATATATAATTGCAAATTTAATCCAGGAGTTTTTAATAGATTACACTTTAAATTTCTTAAGATTTTGGTAATGATATATATCTGGTATAGTATATGATAGTCGTATCTAGTCAACAACACCAGCTAGTATTATTTTAATTAATTCAAACGTATCGCAACATCATCCTACTTCCATCAGGTCCGACACAGTTTGATATTGAGAAGACGAAGAGTCTCAAAGAGTACCTCATCCCTCTCGATGTGTTCGAGCCAGAGGCGGAGATGCAGCACCGCATGGAAGTGCTCAGCTCGCTGTATCGGCTGGTCCGTCAGTGGATCCGCGATGAGTCGTTACGCAAGAACGTACCTGCAAGCGTCGTGGACACAGTCGGCGGGAAATTATACACGTTCGGCTCGTACAGACTCGGGGTAAGTTCACATAACATATCGTCCAATGTTTTTGGTTATACAGACAGACAGTCAGACTCATGTACTTCCGCATCACGTTCAGCCCGTAACTATACTCTATCATGACACCCGTAAATTAAGTGTTGTGTATATGCGTTAGCTCGTATGTAGGTATTAATGTGTAACAATTGTGGTGGCCAAGAAAGAATGGTACCGGTTCTTGTACAAATGGTAAATGATAGATATTTCAACATATACAAATGACCTGTACTTTAAGAATCACTCAAGTATCTGGCACGTTCAAATTATTTGATTTACCACAGGTTCATAACAAAGGTGCCGATATCGACGCGCTGTGTGTCGCCCCGCGCCACATACAGCGGTCAGATTTTTTTACTTCATTCTACGATCTTCTCAAACAGCAGTCACAGGTACGTACACCTACTGAATTCTTTTATCACAATTCAACCTCCTTGACCCATTGACTGAGCTGTACGCCATTAGCGTAGAAAAATATGTGCCAAGTACGGATGAGTGAGTGTTAACAAGTAAAGATGCAAACAAAACCAAGAATTTGACAAGTTCAGAACATAACAGAGCTCAAATGATAAAATTTTGAATAAGCGTTTAAAATTCAGCTGCTGACTACTGAAACTGAAACAGAGCTTTGATCTCAATACAGCCCAAGAATATGAATGAGATGTTAATTTTAATATTGTTCAGGTGAAAGACTTGAGAGCGGTGGAGGACGCGTTCGTGCCGGTCATCAAGATGCGTTTTGACGGTATTGAATTAGACCTGTTGTTCGCAAGATTAGCTTTCAAAGAGATACCTGGTGAGTGTAACCATTGCAAATATGATACAAAATACTAAAAATTTATTAATTATTACGTTACAACGATCTCAGATCTCAAGTAGGGGAGGCCGGGCTGAAAGTTCCGATGTTCAAATAACATGGAATTATATGACGAAAATTATAAGATTTATTTTTGGAACTTGAATCCATTACAGAATCTTAATCGGTCTCGGTTATAGTATTGTAATTTCTGCCAGTACCTGAATAAGTTTTTTTACAGGCACATTGTTGCAAAATTTCGGAAAGGAACATTCAACCCCGCGTTGGGGCGGTGTCAAATTGCCAAATTGTGCCGCTTGGATAGTAGAAATAAAATATGAGAGAATAACATTGCTTTGTTTTAAATATAACAGTCATTTATAAAGTCATATTTAGATTATATACGAAAAAATTTACTCCCGTTGTGTTCTAATAGCAAGGTACACAGCCGTTCATCCGCCGTTGTTGGAGCCACTAAGATGGTAGCCAGCGCAGCGCGTCATCTGATGCTTAAAAGACGCACTTCACATGGTTTACCATCTCTTTCCTTTAAAAAGTTATAACTGTCGGAACAACTTACCCCGGGAACTTTCAGCCCGGCCTCCCTTAGATGAAGACTCTTGTAGCGTAAAACAACGAAGGTGCCATCCAAATCGGAAAGAATGTACAAAAGTTTAAATATTTTGTATAGAATAATAATAAATATGGGAACTTTGAACTCGTCTGAATAAATTGTCGTGTGTATCAATTTTATGTCATAGATTGCTAAATCAGACATAATTAATTGATTATGTCTTAATTTAGCAAAACTTTTAGTTAATATAAATAGGAGATAGTATTTTGGTTTTTAATCCATAATAAGCTAAGTTCATTTTTTTAATTTATATAGATTCATTGGACCTCAGTGACGATGCACTATTGAAGAACTTGCATCAAAAGTGCGTTCGGTCAATGAACGGTTGCCGCAACACCGATGAGATATTACGGCTGGTGCCTAATATCCACAACTACCGTATCACACTGCGCGCCATCAAACTGTGGGCTAAACGTAAGTGTGTACATTATTTCATAATACTCATAGGTTACTGCTGCTAGATGCTTATATTTATAAATAACATGATTATGAAGAATATTTTCAAAGTAACTAGGCAAGCACGCTCCATCTTAGACCACTGCATTGCTTATCATCAGGTGATCTGTGGTCAAGTACTAGTAAGTAAGTGCCTATCTAGCATAAAACAAAACTAAGAGAAAGCTTTTTCAAAATAATCTATTAATTTGTTCACGAAAAATAGGTAAGAATTTTGGCAATGATTATAAATGAATACATCTTTATTTGGCTCAGGTCGAGGTATATACTCTAATACCTTGGGATACCTGGGCGGAGTATCGTGGGCGATGTTGGTGGCCCGCACTTGCCAGCTGTACCCGAACGCGTTGCCGGCGACGCTGGTACACAAGTTCTTTTTGGTATTCAGTCAGTGGAAGTGGCCGCAGCCCGTACTTTTGAAGCAACCCGATGCGGTCAACTTGGGCTTCCCCGTCTGGGATCCGAGGGTAAGTTAAAATCGTATACAGTGATCGAACTAGTTATTTTATACTACAGACTATAAGTTTCATTTGTACTAAATGCACATTAACTCCGATCGAAAGCGGTTGAAGGAGGCACAAGAAATGTTTTTTTTTTTTGTATTAAAATATGAGTCTCCTCGTACCAGACAAAGTGTGGAAGTCAGAATTCTGATGTAACTCACGTACAAGGAATGCTCAGTTAGCAGCTTTATATTCGATAGAGGCCTTCATTTTATAGCTTTTATATATTTTGAAATATTTTAATGAATTTTCCTAGTTACTTTAATTTTAATAACTGTTAAAAAATTGGAGACTTTTCCTTTTCTGACTTGACAATTCCAACCCTAACACCCGTTTTCTGAATTGAGAAATTAAAGTTGAGTATGTTTCAAACCGTGTATAAGCCATAAACGCCAATTAAACAGGTTTTCGTTACTAATTCATAATTTTTTAATTATCACTTGATAGCAATTTGATAAAACTAGGCTTTTTTCCATATGAAACTTTATAAACTTAAGTTATCAGTTGAGATTTTGTGCTTTTCTCAATTCGGAAATCGGGCGTAAGGCTGCATTGCACCAAAGAAGCAATTAAAGTTATGGTTTATGTCAAATTTGACAATAACTGTCAAGCTGACTAACATTAACCGTGGAATGCGTTCCACCATCCTCTTTCTCTTGGGCGGTTATAGTTAAAGTAATGGCGTCATCACACCATTGCCAAATGGTGCAACTGATTATTTGCTTAACTGGTACTTTAACATGTTTGTTATTATTAAAGTTGGTGCAACCTAGCCTAAGTCTTTCTTTTATCTATGTATTTCGTTGTCTTTGTACTCCACCTTAGTTGTACAGAAAGTAATTAATAGCATCTCATTATTATTCAGGTTAACATATCTGATCGGTTCCACTTGATGCCAATCATTACGCCGGCGTACCCTCAACAAAACTCTACGTTTAACGTATCGGCTTCTACTCGCAGCGTTATCATGGAAGAATTCAGGCAAGGTATGAATTTTTTTTTCATATAAAGTTCCTTGGTGAATTTGTGACTGCAACAAAACACTAGCACATTTCTCTCTCATATCTAGTCCATTATTTAACTAATGTGTTTTGTTTTATGCAAATAATTTTTGAGAAGATCTCTTTAGGCTTAGAATACTTTGTTAAGAAAGTTATTATTTTTACAGGATTAGCGATTACAGATGAGATAATGCTCGGAAAATGTAGCTGGGAGAAATTGTTTGAAGCTCCAAACTTCTTCTCGCGGTATAAACATTTCATTGTACTGTTAGCGGCCGCCGCGCATGCCGACGATCAGCTTCAATGGTGCGGACTCATCGAGTCGCGTATCAGACATCTTATCAGTGAGTTCTATATTCATTTAAACGACAACGTAACTAACTACGTGTCTGTGCCTGTTACCATTTTTCGGCCAAACAAATGTGTCAATAGTTACGAAATTTCACTGTGATTTTTAATTTTTAAAACTGAAAATAGGTTTAAGAAGTCTAAACAATCCTTCAAATAATCATTTCCTCAAGTGGTACTTGTTAATGAGAATGGTATATATAAGCCTACTATAGCTTCAGTCAATCCTTTAGGAAGCGTAATGATGTATCCTGACTAAGAAAAGATATATGTAAGAAAACACGACATACTATGATAACTATACTCAAGAGGATCATTATAAAACTGTAAATATACTAATGCTGTAATAGTAATGCTATGATGCTTCAAATTAAGCATCAGGATTGTTTTGAGATTTATCGAAGGCATTCGACTGCGTTAATAATAAGACATTTGAAAAGTATTAGGGCATTGTGGTATCCCAATAATAATTATAATCAAAACTTATCGTTAATCAGAAAAAATCATCACTATGAACGTGTTCCAAGGGTCAATATTAGGCTTTGCTTTGCTTTTCTTTATGACGACAAATACGATAATTACGCGAAATTTGTGTGATATGAACGTTCCATAAATATATACTTTGTATACATAATTAACTGCTTACTAAGATTTTAAGCCTGCCAATATCAACATAAAAAAATGGAAACAATTTGTTGTTTTATTTATGGAATGGCTAAACAAAATTCTCATTTTGCTTTAATTAAACTCTGTTTATTTAAAGGTTTGTTTCACGTTATGTAAGATGAATATTATACAGTTAATCTTAGGTATTTTTTTGTGTTTAATAGGTTATTTTTATCCAACCAGGTCAATATTTGCGATACCCCTTTGAGCACATAGCAACAATCATTTTTAAATCTGTTGTGCAATAATACTTGGATTATCTAAATATTGTTCTAACACAGAAAGGCTATTTATTTTTAAATAAGATCACAGAATCTATTATACTAAAGTATGAATCAGAATTGGAAAGAGAAAGGGACCTAAATTAAATCCCTGAAGAACCCTTACTTTTCACATGGCATCAGATGATCTATTACCATTAAGGTTTACAGGAGTTCTAAATTTAATTTAATTTAAAAACAAAATAATAATGTAATAAAAATTTAATTTAATTACAGAGTTAAATTCTCAATTTAGTCAATTGTCTTGAATAAATCACAACACAAACTGATCGTATCCTAATGTTGTATATTTATTTAATCTCAATTGCCTAGTGAAATAGACAAATGACTGACCTAATGCCAAAGAGGCATTGTCTACTAGTCAACCAGTAAATTTAGTACAAAACTTAAAGTGGCGACATACATAACAAATGTTATTATGTACATTACACTATTGATAGCCATACATAAGAACTGTATCTAAATATAGGTTCTATGCTTCATAATTTGTTAACATTTTTGTTTCAATAACTGTTGATTCACATATGAAAATAAAATAAAATATATACAATTATCTATTGGGCATATTTTTCTGTATCACTTTTTCGATTAAAATTATATTTAATTAAAAAAAAATATTATTTATAACATATAAAAGTTATCGTATTATTAACAGCGACATTAGAGCGGAATCAGCACATAACAATAGCTCATGTGAATCCGGAATGCTACAACTCTGTGCCGCTGCACGCTAACGACGGACATCCACTAGCGCTACCGCCAGGTACTCCACAGGGTAAGTATATATACATGTGATCTTGTATTATACATAAAAAAAAAACTTCCTTTTCAATCACCCTATCTATGAAAAAAAACCGCATCAAAATCCGTTGCGTAGTTTTAAAGATTTAAGCATACTATATCCCTATGATATAGGGACAGAGAAAGCGACTTTGTTTTATATTATGTAGTGACTAAAACAATATGTTATTATACTCATACTTGGAGCATCTAAATATGGTCCTTCTATTAGGTTAGAAGGCTTGGATTTGGACACTGTCCCCTTTTTGGCCATTTGGCACTTCAATCTAAGTAACACCTAAGCAAATAAATATATTACTTACCCGTGAACGGTGCTCAAAATATTGTATTATTTCAAAACTAATACCGTCAACAGCTGTGATGTATCGGTGTTCACTTCCTTGTAACTCAGTTTAAACATCTGACCTAATATCATTATTGCGCAACTTTTCATATTTAAACTGTAACATCAAAACTTTTTATCACACATTGATTTGTTTGTTTGGACATTTATTATGCTGTTATATATAATAATAAAACAGTTAAATATTTATATAAAACCAACAATAGATAGATCTTTTTATAATATTTGATGAATTTTGCATTCACAATGCTACACTGGATCATATTCAAATATAATATTAGAAGAAAATTTCACCTCAATCGGAAGTTAAAAAAAAAATTGTAATAATATTTCTGTGGGTTGTTTATTTGCATGAATATTGATGAAAATACGGTCACCAGTAGCGAAAAGTAATAAGTGCTTGAAAAATTCGTCAGGCCTGAGTAGCTCAGTGGTTAGAGCAATCGCCCGGATTACGAAAGGTCGTGGGTTCGAGTCCCATATCATATTACCTGGGGCTGGTGGAATTTTTAAGCATTAACATTTCTCATTAAGAACATCTTTTTATTTCAATAGGTATATATTTTGCCAACATACTCAATTCCATTACCTTTGTGTTATTTAGACTCGCCAGTACCTACCGATCCAGTTCCCGAACACAAAAGAAATGACAAAGTGAGTATAGAAGCTTCGTTTTTGTAGTTACTTGATATTTCACCAACCAATAGTGTAACTATAACATATTCATGAAATTAAATTTCCTAAATAGTACCCGTGTAGTGGAAAGTGTATGATATAGTATAGTGCTTTTTAAATTCAATCACTTAGCAGCACCATTAATTATCATCTAAAGATGCAACATTTAGTCATTTTCTCATCACATATCATATTTTAAAATCCGTTTAATTACGTGTTATTTCCCTGTTCTTAATCCTAATTAGTCGGTTGATAAAAAATAATATTTTGATCTAATACTTAATGTCGGCAGGGTGAAGTGATACCAAACTTCTGCTCGATGTGGTTCATCGGTCTTGTGTTTGAGAAGACAAATCTAACTGTGGACCTCACATATGACATCTCGTCATTCACTAAAGCAGTACATTATCAAGCTGACAACACAAGTATGCTTCGGGAAGGGATGACTATAGAGGTATGTGGATACTACATCTGTTTAGTCAAACTAAACATAACTAAAATATATAACTAAAATATATATATTTTAGTCAAACTAAACATAACTAAAATATATATATTTTGTGGCAATGTTACGTTTATTAATATGGCTACCGTAATCTACCATCAGTACCAATCCATCAGGAATTTTTGTCCGTGGACAAAGTGGGTCGTCTTGTTTGCAATCGCAATTAACTGAAACTGTTTATACGGATATCGATTCATATCATGACACGGATATAATGACAATGACAAATGGAGTACTAAACGATGGTTACTATGGTAACCTTTTGTTTCCCTATACAAACTTTCACTCCCATTTTCGTCCCTTTATTTGCTGTTTTTCGGGATAAAATATATCTTATGTTCACCGCATGTGATGTAGCTTCCCGTAGGAGAAAGAATGATTAAAATCGGTAAATAATAGTTAATAAAATTTATTATATAATTATTAATAAAACTATAACTTATTTGAAAATATTCGTTCTAGGCTCCTTGAAATACTGTTGCCTTTAAAGTATGTCATATTTTCATCAATTTTCTTTTTAATTTCTTTGGTGCTCGGCCAGAATAATTAAAAAGATACTTTCAAGCACGTGTGCAGTAAAGGATTTCAGTACATTTTTATTTAACACGTGTTCAAAGACACTTTCGGTGTTTACGATGGATTAAAAAAAAAAGCGCTTTATGAGCAACTGCATTGAAAAATACATTCATCATCAGCCCTTTTACGTCCCCAATGCAGGGGTTCAGGCCTTCCTTATGGATGGTTAAGGAGGATGGATGGTTAAGGACCATGACCCTCCACGCTGGCCCAATACGGATTGGAAGGTATTAACGACCGCAAATGCAGCCGGGTCCAACGGCTTAACGTGCCTCCCGAAGCACGGAGTAGCTCGAGATAATAATTTTTCGGTCACCGATCCCGTGACCGACCCTTGCGAAAGTTGCTTAACGACAACGATCACGGGCCGCGGCGCTAATCCACTACGCCACTGAACTACAATATGAGCCACTATATAAAATACATGATGTTATATGTATATAGGCGCGTCACGTGCGACGTAAACAGTTGCACCAGTACCTGTCGCCATCGCTGCTGAAGAGAGAGCGGACCACCTCCGGCGCCAAGAGGCGTCCGCAGGAGCACGCGCCCGCGCCGGCGCCGCTCAAGAAGACCAAGCGACTCTCGGAGAGCGACGTCACCGCAACACCACACAACACTAATACTGGATGATATTTAATAATAAAATCAAATCAAAGCAAAATATGAATTCACATTACAAACAATGTGATATAATCAAGCGACGCCCTGCAAGGGCATTGCAATATGTAGAGGAGAGATTTATCAAAGTGAAAATATAATATTAACAACAATTTAAAATTAAAAACATATCATAATTTAGTTATTCATTGCATTAAAATTAAATTAAATTGCATAAGATAAAATTATGTGAAAATAAATACTTATTCTTAATGGAAGTCGATCAAAAATTATATAAAAACGAATTAAATTGAAAGTTCGTCATATTTGTCTTCAAAAAATATTTTTTAGTGTAGTATAATTTATTAATAAGATATGATTTTAATTTTAGGGTAGGGTTTTCTAATTTTTTTATGCGATTTGGTATATATTTTAATTAACATTGAATGGGGGCTGGATGCATTTTATAGAAGGGTAGTTTTAGCTCATTTAAATTTCTATTGTTACGTTTGTTGTTTAATCGGGGGGAATAGAATTCCGGATGCTTCCTGACATATTTATACACTTCAAGAATGTAGATAGATATTATATAGAGTTAGTATGTGATGTTTAACAAAGTATGGTCCAAACGAGTCCATTTGGTAATAATTATTATGCATTTCTTTTGTAGTACAAAGACCCTATCTATATCACAGGAGTTTTCCCATACGACAATACCATAGGAAAGTATCGAATGTGCGTACGCATAATATGCTGCTAATGCCGTCCGTATGTCAGGAATTCGCCTAAGATGTTTGAGAGCATATATAAAAGAAGATAACGTACGTGATATTTTACCTGTGTGTTGCTTCCAGTTTAAATGTGTCCAGCTCCAGGCCCAACAGGGTAGCGGATTTTTTTCTAATTTTGTATTATTAAAGTTATGTGTTAAATGCTAAGCAGTTTTTTGGTAAGGTTTTAATTGAATAATTTTAGTTTTTTTTTAAATTGAGCAGCAAATTCTGGTTTTCTTACCAGTTTGAGATTTTATACGATATTGAATCGAATATATTTTCACATTCTGAGGCATCTAAACAAGGGGTTAAAACTTAAATATCGCCGTATTATTGTTGGGAACATTTGGCAAGTTGTTAATATATATAAGAAAGAGAACACATCCCAGAACGCTACCCTGTGGAATGGATCCAGACACAAGGATACACTCAGGCCTAGATTTAAAAAAAAATCCAGTTTGGAAGTCGGTATTTTCAATTTCCTCGTATTGTAAGCGGCCATGGATATACGATTTAAACCACCTGTGAGTCATCCCACGAATTCCTGTTTGATAAAGCTTATCCAGTAGAATTGAGTAATGAATTTTTTCGTAGGCTTTACTCATATCGAGCAAGAGCCCTACTGCATATCTTTTATTATTGATTTGCTCGATAATGTTTTTAATGTGTTTGTAAATTGCCAATAGAGTGTCGAGTTTTTCCTAAACCCATTTTGGTTTTCGTGTAAAATGTTGAATTCTTCATAAAAACTGTAAAGGCGTTTTGTCATTGCGGATTGGAAAATTTTAGCAGGTGTGGGTAAAAGAGCAATAGGTCTAAAATTGTTTATATCGATAGTTACTCCTTTTTTATGGATAGGTTTAATAATAGATATTTCAGAGCGTCCGGAAAAATCCCTTCAGTGAAAGATTGATTTACCAATGCAGTATATGGTGCAGTTAGTGGGTCAGCACAGTTATTTATCAAGATGGGAGGTATTTCATCAATGCCGAAAGATGCTTTACATTTCAGATTTTTCATTATGTTCTTAATTTCTTGTTGTCTTAGATAAAATGTAAACTTTGGAATTTGTGCATTCATTGCCAATAGATGCAAAAAAGATGTTGAAAGTATTTGCTATCGTCCTAGGGTCGAATATTAAATGTTTGTCCAACTTTTTCAGCTGATAATCTTTATTTACCCATGCATTTTTATTTGTCTCATGGTTTATAATTTGCCACATAGATTTAGTTTTATTTTGTGAATTTTCAAATTTGCATATATTACAATTTTTTAGTTGTATTAATCTTTTTTCAATATTTTACAATACTGTTTATAATTTTTTTTTTTTTCTAAATAGTACTTGGACTTTTAGATATCAAAATACTTAAAAATCTTTTATTACGGCACGAAGTTTTTAATCGTGTTGTTGTACACTTTTTTGTAGTTAGTTTTTAATTTTGATTGTAGTTTTAGGTATACACTTATTTAGATTTTTTGCAGATTTCGTTAAAGATGTTGTAATTTTCATTACCGTTTTTATTAGATTTTATAATGTCGTCCGAATTTATTTTTATGAGTTTATTTTTAAAATTAATCATATTTGAATTATTGAATACTCGCCTACATACGAAGAAGTGGATTAGATTATGCTTATTAGTAGGTAGAGTAACCAATAAACCGCAATGATCAAAAAACCCAAATTCTTGGACCGCTGTTTTAATATTTTTTATTTTAAAATTAATAAATACTAAATCAATGCATGTTGAGCTGTTGGTTGTAATTCTAGTTGATCTAGTTTTTAATTATTTGATGAAAGTTGTATGTAAGCATTAAGTTAAAGTCTATTTTTTTCATTATTATTTGTTAGGAAGTTAACGTTAAAATCGCCACCTATAATTATAATTTTAGAGCAGTCTTTTTCAAAACAATTTTTAAGATTTCTTCTAGGCGTTCTATTCTTCGATCATTTCAAGTGACATCGAGCATATCGCACACCTAGATCTAAACTGAGACAACTCAAAAATTTGAGTGAGTTTTGACTTAGTACAATATTCAAATTCTCGGTGATCATACGCATCTATCCAACATAACAGATTCAATAAAGGTTCGGGGATGAGCCGCTAGATAACTTTAGCTTTCTTTTGTCGAATCAACAGTGGTCGCGTTCCTGCCACGTAAACAAATGTATTGTCAGACCGCCACATTAGTTTTTTGAGTTGTCTTAGTTTTGATCTAGGTGTGCGATATATCCAATCTATTACAGTATTCTAAAGACTTTTTTGTTAATATACACACACCACCACCATCATGCCGCTTTCGGAAAAAATACATCTTCTATTTTCAACCCTTCTTCATTCTGTTTATTCAACTATGTCTCAGATAGGCATATAATATGCAAATCTGGTTTTTCATCTACAATATCTTCTAGATATTTTATTGTATTGTATACTTTATTACAGATGCTTTGAGTGTTTTGAAAGATAATGTTAAAGACAGCAGCGAAAGGAAGAACCCTTCACATTTTCGTGTCTTAAACGTGTTTCTTGGCTTGGTGCCGATTCATTTGTGTTTACCGTATTCGTAGTCCGATTTCGTAATGTTAGAAAAGGTTGAAAAGTTGTAATTTTGAGATGTGGTTGTTCAATAGAGTCCATATTGTTTCTGTTGTCCTGTGTTTGCATTACAGAGTTCATCGTATCACTGCCTTGCATGTAGTCGGTAGTTTATTCACCATCGATAAACAACTTATTTCTTCTTATTATCGCATAGTGACCATCTCTACGAGCCTTGTCTAAGGCATGTTTCAGTTTTTTTGCACTTTTGTAAAACGTTAGAAAAGTGCAAAAATCTGAGATAAAATTAAAAGCTTAGATTTTCGGTGATACTTGTCATTATTTTACTAATTAATTCAACTTTAACGGTCTTCTATTGTTTCTTCTACCTATGATTTTAACCTCTTCGATATTGAGTAAATTGTATACAATATTTATGATTCTGTCCATCTGTTCTATCATTTGAATGAATGAATGAATGAATGAATTATTTATTCTGGTACAAATAAATAATTCATTCATTTTATTTAAGGCAAGTCCGTGTATTTTTTGTGAGAAATGTGTTTGTTTGTTGCAAATAAACAATATTCTTCCGTAGACATTCACACTCAGTTTGAATTATACTGTAGTCTTTGTCTAACTGTGCTATTTTGTGGATTAACTCGGACAAGTCCTGTTTGATTTCTACTTGTTCAACTGTGATTTTATCGAAGCTCTGCAAAAAGCCCGCCTTGAATGTCGACATAGCATTTTCTAACTCAGCTTTAAGAAAAATTTGTAGCGAGGATAGTAAGTCCAGTTTATTTTCCTGAAGTATGAATGTTAGTTTCTCAAACTGAAAGTTCTTAGAAAATCAAAAACTGATTACATTAGCCAGTTATTAGTTTTATTATATCTTTTCAAAATATTGTCCATTCACGTCAATACACCGCTGCATGCGATGGAACCACTGGGAAAAGCACTTTGCCCACTCGTCCTTAGGGGTCTCTTCAATGGCATCGCGATACGCAGCCACCGCTTCTTCAGCATTCATAAACCGCTTTCCTTTAAGTTTTTCTTTAATTTTTGGAAATAAATAAAAATCACAAGGCGCGAGGTCGGGGCTATACGGCGGGTGACCCAGTAATTCAACGTTTGATGTCGCCAAATAGTCGATCGTTCGCTTGGCGGTGTGCGACGAGGCGTTGTCGTGGTGAAGGAGGATCCTACTGCGAGGTCGTTTCTCTCGAACTTTTTCCAAGACAAGTGGCAAACAATTGGTAGTGTACCATTCTGCAGAAACTGTTTTTTGATCCTCTAACACAATTGTTGCAAAATGACCTATCCTTCCAAAGAACGAGGCCACCATTTTTTTTCCCGCACTTCGATCTCTCTTCACTTTAGTTGGCAACTCCTCGAAAGGAAACACCCACTGAGCAGATTGTCTTTTGGTTTTAGGATCATAACAGTAAATCCAGCTTTCGTCACCTGTTAGTATGTCGAACACAGCATTTGAGTCACCTCCGTTAAATCTTTCAATCATTTTACGACACCAATCCACACGATGGAGTTTTTGAGCCTCAGTCAAATTATGAGGTATCCACCGGGCGCAAAGCTTCCTGACCGCTAAATGTTCGTGGAGGATTTTGTGCACTTGACTCATACCGATGCCTAAGCTTGTCCGAATCTGTTGATAGGTCACTCTTTT